TCCATGCAAAGGCTTCTGTGCTGCCGGTCGCCCCTCACAACGCACTCTCAGGCCAGCAGTTTTGGTGGACCTGCTCCCAACCCGGTCATCCTAATCACCACCGTTGCCACGCTCCTGACCCCTGCCGCAGCTTTCGGCCGTCTATAAGGGCTTTTCACAAGGAAGTTGTCGCCTCGTGTCTCTCGGATCTACCCGTTGATGGCTCTACCATCATGACAGGCTTCCGGCGTTTTCACCAGAGATACGTTGTATAAGCTAAACTACGCTACCATCCCATGGTCCTTTTGGGCGACTTTCCACTTCCGATTGCGGCCTCCGAATAAAAACTCCAGAGGGTCATTCGCTGTACCTTGGCTCAAGTACGCAGTGGCTCCTCAGTGGTTCTTCGCCAGTACCAACACCGGCTTCGTCCGCAACTCCGACCAGGCACCCAACTCACCCCCGTGGACCTTTAGCTCAAGCTGGTTGAGGTCTCGGCTTTCTTCCATCTTCCAACTACAAACAGTTAGGACTCCGGCGGACACCCTTGATCCAAAAAAAGGCTATGACACAAACGCACACAAACAAGACAGTTAAACTGCTGCTCCCGAGGATGTCCACTACACGCTTCAGCAGAATGCAGCAACGTGGTGACTCCTGTGGAATTATTGTGAAAGTAGACTTGCGGAGAATCTACCCACTCTCTCAACACTCCCACACCTGAACCCGATATCAATACAAAATCGACAAGACCGGTGATGAGTTAGGCACTGGCGGCCGGCGCGACCAACACTCACCACGAGTACCAACAGCACACCTCGCTAGGTAAGCTCCTGCCTGGGAACGCCATAAAGGCCATATTAAGAGGGAGCCATTGAGCCTGAATCTCAACCCGCAGTAAGCCACTCCACACAACAACAAGACACACACACTGGGCCGACTACGGTGTCCAAGTTATCCCGTCAGTTGGCAATCCTCCAAGCCACGGCTTTTAGTGCATCGGGGATAGCTTCAAGCGCATTATATTGTTTTAGTGAGGTAAGAAATGCGCTGAGGGTCGACCACACTCTCTCTCTCCCCCCGCCTAGCTGATCGGTCGCCTGAGGTGGGAAACGCACACACAGATACACCAACGCGCAATCCCACTAAAAAGGGACTTGTCCTCATTCGAACGATCCTCTCAGCTCTGTTGGGCGTTACATGCTGTACTGTTCTTCTGGACTTCATATCGAACGTGACTTCCAAAAATCGATAAGCCAGCGCGGTGCGGTGCGGTGCACGTGAAGCCAGTCGTGAACCAGCAGGTGTTGACGCCATGTCCAGCGCTTACTCGGCCGCTTTAATTTCTCAAAAGAAATTCCTAAAAGACCTCCGAACCCTGCAATTCCATCTACGCTGTCTAGAAGATGCTCGTGTGGGCGCCTACAATGATGGCGAACAGGAGTTCACTTATATTGGCATGCTGACTGACAAGATTGGCGCCTACTGTAAGATGTCCTCCCTGGACGAGGATTCCGAGAAGATGGACCTAGCTCTGCAGGAGTGCACCATGTTGGAGCTGGCCAGCACCTACGTCACCTACCTCCAGTTGGAGTATGTTAACACAGCTCTAAAGTCTGCTCGCCTAACCGACGAAAATGAGTGGCACATCAAGGAGAATAAAATTTTCAAGTCGCGCATTCAGAATTTACAGGAGAAAATCGCAGGAGCCGACCAGGACATGCAACGTTACCTCCTCCTCTGTCAGATCAGACAGAGTGACATGACCAAGGGTGACTTGGTCATGGTCAGTAATTCCGTCGAGGGCAACTTGGCTATTGATAACAACATTCTCTCTGTACTCTCCGTCTCCCTGAAGGCCTTCTATCCACTGGCTCTGAAGTATGTGAATGCTGGTCGCTACGATCCGGCCACCTCCCTCTGCAAGAAGAGTCAGAATGGAAAACTGTCGAATGCTGATCAGGCGCTGATTGAATACATTCTCGGCGAAAGTACCCTCAGACAGAGACAGGCGGAGGAGTCCTGTAAGCACTTCGAAAACGCTCTTGCCTTAATGTCAAAGGCGCAGGGTGCCGAGCACATCTGTTTGGTTCCCCTACTGCGCGGCCACGGCAAGGCTCTACGCCTGCTGCAGAACTACGAGGAAGCCATTGGGCAGTTCAAAAAGGCCTTAACCATCAAAATGACCGCGGATAATGCCGAGGGTCCAGTCACCTGGGCCATCAGAACGGACGTGGCTAGCTGCTGGCTGAAACTGGGCAAGGTAGATGAGGCCTCAAACCTGCTCATTGCTTGCCTCGAACAGGCTTCAAAAGTACTTCACGCCTGTGATAACATCGTCCTTCTGATGAAGAATTACATTGCAAGATGCTATTTGCAACTGAAACAGGAGAAGGAGGCCATGATGATAATTAAGGTGCTACTAGCGGAGGCCTTCACCCACGAGGGCTATCCGGCCATCTCTGAAGTGTTGAGGCATCCCGATACTTATCAGGTCAGCGATGGTGAAAGCCTGGTAGGCGTATGTCAGCAGACCAACAGTCTCCTGGAACTGTTCACCTACCAGACACTGATTAAGATCTACAGAATAACTGGTAACGAATTTGCCGCAGATCTGCTTGATCAATATGTCCACATACACTCGGTCCACTATGAAATTCAGTAAATCGTCAGCAGCTGCATAGTCGTTCCTAAAAACAAACAATCTTCTGGAGGTATTGAGAGGAGGAAGTTGCGACTGGTATTTTGTTTTGGCAAATTCTCCTTTGAGGCAATGCACGTCTAGGTGAGGCTATAAGGTAGGATCTAAACCCAGCAAATAGTCTACATTTAAGCCTCGGCACGTCTGCGTTCTAGCATCTTCACGACTGAAATTGCATCTGACGTCAGTACTCATGTCTACTCAACGTATGTCTCGAGTCATCGTTAAAGACTTAGGTTCGAGCATAAATATATGGTTTTCATATATCTGGACTTCTTTTAGAATTTCTATTAGCTTGATTCGCAGCGCGGTGACACTCATATGTCTAGTTAATTAGATATGCATACTTTCAGGCTTACCATATTTAATTAAGTAGGCGTAGTTAATTTTATTTATTTCATTACATTCCCTTATACCTACACACACATATCTTGGCTCAGAGGGTTAGAAATGGTAGACGGATTGGTTCACCTTACCTACCTACGTTCCCCAAAAAAATTGACAGCCAGAAAAACTATCTGTTATGGCATTACGTTGGCTGTTTTGTTTGTATGAAATGAGATTCAAGTGGGTCCCTATCACGCATGACTGGCATACATATAGCAGTAATTGTAATCTAACTAATAAGTATGCAAAGCTCAGTTAATACATTAGAATCTATTTCACTCCTCTAAAATACTTATGCTTAGTAAGGCTATGATCATGCTTGATCTAGCCGGGCTCGATGATGTCACGGACTGTACCTCTCCAGGCGTGAAGATTTGCGCCACAGAGTCCATGCTAACCTAAGTTATTATGACCCGCCCTAACCTATGCAGCAATGAACTGGTCTGTAGTCATCTAGTCCGCGATATTCTGACCTCTTTATTATAATAATTTATTCCGTTTAGTACTTCTAATGACGGCATCTAGCACCAAAAAGATAGATAACGTCGGTTTCTTATTGTTTATAGAGGGCATTGTCAGTCACGCTGCTTGGATTCTCTTAAGATATGGGCTCCTCTGTGTGGGTAAAAACCTGTATAAAAGACGGTGTTCCAACAGGAACTCTTCACTTGCATACTGAATGCTTCCGCCTTGCCTCTCTGACCGTACAACCAATAACTTATCGATTTTGAATAGGCTAGCTCACTATTTACCGTAACCGAGGCTCATTTTTTTCCGCCAACTGGTAAAGTCGGTGTGGTGACGGTATCCGAGACTTGGCCTCGCGTAAGGTTGACGACCTTATGTATGTAAAGGGGACTGTGAGTAAGGTTTCTCAGCCTGAAGTTGTTGTTGTTTATGTCTGTCTGACTTGAATCATAATTTTGATGGTGATCGGATATGTGACCCCATCCAGAAAACGGAGGCAAACAACTCTTGAAATATGGGGATTGTGGCAAAAAGGGTTTTATGGATGGAGAAGATGAAACTCACAGATGGCTTGTGTTAGGGAGTCAAAATTTAAAAAAATACATTCATCTTATTAGTTTGTTCAAAGGCAAAAATAACCTCTAAACCGAAACTCAATCCTAAACCAAAAGTTAACTCTATTAGTCGCACCATAGGAGGACGTAGCGAGGAATGACTCAAAAGGGAAGGAATTAAATGGAGCCTATCCAAATGGCGTAAGTAGGTACTTCATTCAAGTATAGGCTAGGTAAAACCACATATTCCATGGTCATCCACGTTCCACTTAAATAAATTCAAAGCTTAGCTGAAGCTAATACTGCAGGGCCTTCACGATTGACCACGTGGTACCAGAACTCTTAAATATTTATCCTCATGTCCAGGAGAAGGGGTAATTTTTAACGTGGGGAACCAACTTTTCCTTCTTATAGTACAAAATTAGCCCGGTTTTGGTAAAGAATTCACCAATTTTCCATTAAGATGATGACCTACAAAATCCCAAGTTACATACAGTAGGCAACTTCAGAGGCCAGGCCGAGTGCTAGTTTACTTAATGTGCTCCAGCAAACGTATCCTTTTTGTTTAGTAAAGTAACGCGAATGACATTTGAAATGGACGCTTTTCGGTAGTGATCGTATATATGGCCACACCCAGAAAACGGAGGAAAGGACTCCCGAACTATGGCAATGGTGGTAATAATGACCTTATGAGTAGAGTGAACGTAACTTATATATTAGTGCATTTAGGAAGCATAAGTTGGAAAAGTACATTTACGTCATAACTTGATGTGAATACACTAATAAGGCATAAACATTCGAGCGCATACTTTTAAATACAGAAAATGGACGCTGTGAACGGACGGATAAATAAACATCCAGGCGTTATCTAGCGCTTTTAGGGAAAACGATTTCTGGCCGCGATGACTAATTAATTTGGAGAAGAAAGTAAGAAGAACATATCGTTGAAGCCAACGCTCGTGTTGGCCGCAACTGCAAGCATAATTGAATTTGATACTACGGATGGTCCAAACTTATAATATTAATTTCAGTCCACTTAAAGACACGGTGGGAACAGATAGCCAATCGGCACCCTAATTTCTACTGCGGTGGTCGTTGAGATGGCGTGGCACGGAAACAATCGCTGATTACCTTACTGGACAGTGAAAAACAGCGAAAAGTTTTTTCATTGAATTAACAATTGATTATTAGGCTACTCAAAATAAGTGATTATTAGGCTACTCAAAATAAGTGAGTAGCTGGTGATGTTTACTCCTTTCGACCTCGCTGCTCGCTCGCCGTCTGCAGTAAGGTATGCTGTATCGATGCATTTCTTAGTCACTGTGTTACAAATAGGGAGATCTTTAATAAAACTGAACTTTCTCACGGCAGCCCCAACAAATAAGCAGTCTAGTAGTGCTAGTCAGTGTTTAATCACTGCATCCAGTGTTGGAAGTGCTGAGGTGATTTCCTGTGTACAGCATAAACTACAGTTATATTTGCAGGTGGAAACAGACACTTGTCTATAACAGCTGGCAATGCCTACCCCCCCACCCGAACTTCACAGAGAAGATATGTTTGCATGATTTACTGACACTTCGTCCGTTACCTTCAAGCGCAATTATACTTTTAGAGAAAAGTCAGTACTTCCACATTTCCGAACCAATAGATGGACACAGGACTTAATCACCCCTAACGTTACAAGTTTGTCTACTTTCATTTTATGCAGCCCCGGTGTAAGCCTGATCTAGACAACTCTTAGGATACTTCTTATAGCTCATTTCCGTGTACAACTATTTGCAACAGCCGATCTTGCGAGTTCAACACACTCTCTTCTCCAGAAGCAGCAGCGATTGACAAAGGTGTGAAGATCAGTTTAGTATTCTGAATAACCACGTAGAGCAAATATTGACACACGAGGCGGGCAACGAAACGTTTGCTCAACCACCTCAGTTGTTATACCGCAGGAGGTTAAGTAAGTTAAACTGCGATCTTCAGACCATAGTTACTTAGTAGAGGTGAAGAAGTCGGTAGAGGCCAGAGTAGTAGGAACAGTATACTGTGTACAGAGAGGAACGGAGAATAGATGGAAGAATTCTGACTTGGGAGAACACGACCAGCCAGAGGAGTCAGCCGGGCCTACGTGCCAGTTTGACAGCAGTCAGGCCAGTGGACAGAGAAAACATTCAGGCGTGCCCAGAAGACATCAATGCGGCAACTGTGATTGGCTGATACAGGCGTCGAGACTAGCGTCTGTGAGCCTCCGAGAAAGTTCACTTCGACGCGAGCTAGTCAGAACAGTTTTACCCTGATAGTCTGCCATGCACTTGTGAGATTTGCCTTTGGAGATTGTAGCAGGATTTGAGGAGATCAGAAGAAGAATATGCAATCACTGGAACAAGTTTATTTGCCTGACGTTTCGGATTCTGTCGAGAACCCTTCATCAGACGTAACCGTAGAATAGGGTGATACATGCACAGATAAGGGCACAGATTACGTAGAATTTATAGTTCGTAGTGGCTACGCAACCGCATACGCGCTATAATTATTAGCTACCGTAACCACCGCTGGCGATCGTAATTGATGCAGAGATGGCTTGGCTGTCCGCTTCCGAGTCATTAATTAGTGCAACTTCGTCATCCGTGTGGAATGCGGACTTGATAATTATGTTCGCTGTCGTCGTAGTTGTTTTTGGGTCCAGCCCTTCCCACATCTCTGATTCTCCTGCTCAGACAATATCTCAGTACAAAGAATGGGAACGCAAAATCGTTGCGCTTGGTGATTGACCGTGGGCCTGAGAACCACGACTTCAGCAGCTCGCGGCTCACGTGGTTGTCACCTTTTACGAGGATTTCGACCTCTTTAAACTTGAAAATATGGCCGAGTTCCGTCGAGTGAGCTGCAACTTAGGAGTTAGTATCTTTCCTCCTCACTGCTGTTGCGTGTTCGGCCATTCGCGTCCGGAGTAATCTTCCGGTTTTGCCGACGTAGTTGCTTTGTTCATAACTGCCCTAGATTCAGTAAACGACTCCAACCGTTTCCTGCTATGGCACTGGGTCTTTCAATCTCATGATCCGGCGCCCGATGGTTGCTTCTGGTCTGTGCGATAGGTGATACTTATATTGCGCATGCGGTCGCGTGGGCACTACAAACTATAAATACTGCGTTATCTGCGCATATATCATGCATGAATCAGCCTATTCTGCGGTCATCGCTGATGAGGGGTTCCCGACAGAATCCGAAACGTCAGACAAATAAAGATCTTGTCCATCTATCGCATCTTCTACTTCTGAACAACTTCCTAGAACACGTATATTCGCTTCTAAGGCGATTTGAGATGTCCGCCTACTGCTTTCGAAAAGTCTCTCACAAT